GAAAGAGAGAGCGGGAGCGAGCGATCGCGCGGGAACCGAGTCGTCGCGCAGGAAAATCGCGGAGCATACCTCCTCAGTTGCGCGCCTGCCTTCGATCGCGTCGGAGCGCCGCTGCCCGCTCACCTCGCTTAACGCCACGGAATGACCGACGGGATCGGGGGTCCGAGGGGACCGCGCGCACACACATACCAACATCCCGGTACGTTGGTGAGCGCACGCACACCAATGTCTCGCGGGGGTCGGGGCTCGGGGCTCGGGAGGAAAACTGGACAGAGGTGGGGTACGGTGGTGGGAGGCCAATGCAGGTCGCTGATTGGCTGCCCCACGCCACAGTACCCCCCCTCGCCCAGTTTTCCCCCGGCCCCGCATCCCGCGGGAAACCCCATGACTTGTCTTTTCATGGTTTCATATATACATTGGTTTGCTACTCAAATGGACAGCTGCACTCAAAATACTCATCCACAGAAGTGGAGAAGTACGTGAACGCACTCCCTGCTTATCTCGCGGATAGGTTATACGATATGAAGAACAGAAGTGTAAAGAAAGAAAGTGAAGTCTTCACCATAGACATATAAGATAGACCCAGCATAGCGTATATACATACGTACAAACGTACATACGTATATACACACACACATACCTACATACATACGTACATACGTACATACATGACATGTTGGGGTTTGGCAGAACGGTTCGAGAGGCAAAATATCGGGGCAACCTGTCCTTCTCTGCGCGCGCATCTTGACAATCTTGACAAAATCAAAATGGCTGACTACGTTAGGAATGTTAGGATCGTCTGTATTCTTTGCCCATTTTTGTAATTGTGTTAGTTTGCGTCACTAATATTAATAATTGTGTTTATTCGCGTTTTTTGAAAAATTGAACATGAAGACATGCAGCGCATGTGGGTATCAAAAGAAACCTGGTGAACAGGAAAAAATATCCTTTCACAACACGCGTAAGTAAAACATTTTAACCTATACAATACGCATAACACATACTAATTTTATGTAAGTAATAAAAATAAGATGCGCTTTTGAATTAAAGGTTTCCAAGAAAGGAAAATATCCGTCAAGCATGAATCGAGGCGATGGGATTAGAAAATGTTGACCCTACTAGAAATAATGTTTTATGTAGTCAGCATTTTTCAGAAGAATGTTTTTATTATAGTGTGGGAGGAATGAAACAAAGAACATATTTGAAGCCAGGTTCGGTGCCAACTATATTTGATAAACGTTTTTTCAAGTATGTATCTTATGTTGCACCAACATATTGATCAGTACGTCACGTTATTTTTTAAATGTAACGTTTGCTTCTAGCAGACATTATAATTATAAAATAGCTGATATATTGACCACTAGGTTGCAACACATAGTCCATTTAATTATTTTTCTTTATGTTTAATATACTACATAAATATAATTTTCAAGAAATATAAAACTTGTCCTTTTTAACTGAACGTCTTACATGGTTTATCTTTCCTCTTTTTCTTTTTGCATCTAAAAGCATCAAAAGAAACATGAACTATATAAGTTTAGCTAAAAAGAATAAATCTATAATATTCAGTATCATGACATATTTTTTTCTATTAATAGCACATTATACAATCAAAATTAACTGATAATGATAATATTCACAATAACAATGAGAAAAACATACATATTACCATGGATACAAGCACTCACAAGGAAATACCTATAATCGACGACTCAACTACAGTCAATACATTGGATAGATACGAAGTACGAAATGGAAATAGAAAATATCAATAGGTACAATATAAAGTTACTACATATATCATTCATATATAATTATTCATATATAATTTAACTTAATGCTGTTATTATATAGCGAGATTTCTCAAACTTCCAAGAAAAAATGATATCGCAGCGAAAATCCGGGATATTGGCGATTGACTTTAAGTGATTTAAGATCACCTCGAAGGGCTATACGTAATTGGAAAATAGCCATGTCTTATATTAATTCATTACGCAAGAAAATTGCGATACTACAAAAGCAAAACAATCGATTGAAAAAGAAAGTCAATAATCTCGAAGATATCACAACTACTTTGATTAGTAAAAGAATGATAACAGATGAAGTTACACCGATTTTATCTGTAAGTGCATATTAACATTGTAAGTTAGAATTACTATATATATATATATAAATTTAAAATAATAAGTACAAATAAATAGCTATAT